TCCCATAACTTGTTTTATTTTCCTCATAGCACTCACCACCACAATCTCAAACTTGACTAACTTTATTGTTTATCTCCCTTGGTGGAATGTGTTTCACAAATAGACAGAGACAGTGTCTATTTCTTTACTTCTGGTGTATTGTAGGTGCTCAATAAATATTATGAATGAAATTGTATATTGTTATTGACTGAACACATAGTAGAGTGATTTTCAAAGTTTGTGTGTATATGTGTGTGTGTGTGTGTGTGTGTTCAGAGGGAGTGGGGTATGCTGTAGTCATAGGTGAGGGTGATAGATGTTTATGCTTCTTCACATCAAGAAGGTAGATTTCTAGGAAGTCACTGAATAACTATTTTTCTAAAATAGAGGCAGTAAACCAAGTAAGTTTGTGAACCTCTGTACTAGTAAAAGGCCAAGACCTTCTCAGGGTTACTATTATATTCTAGGCACATAATATAGTTCCTGGAACATAGTAGATGCTCACGAACGAAAGTATTTCGGGTGAATGGATTAACGTCCTAAACACAGCTTACTCAAAATTTTTACTTGGTCTCTTCTTCCTGCTTTATACACCTTTTCCTTCTTAGGAGGAAATCTTGGCTATGTATCCTCTGGCAACAACATCTACTTTAATACCCAACCTAGAAATGAACTGTTTTCACTCTTTCACCTACTATTTTCAATTAATCCCATGCTCCATTCAACCTCCAAAATATCCATCCCACTTATGTGAACTTTTAGTACCTCTGTTGGTTCAGGCCTTATCTTTTTGAAGAACTAATGCAAAAAACTTTTCCCTCCATTTTCTTTTATCATAGACTTCATGAATTTAGGTGCCATTATTTTGTAGAGTCACAGTATTTTTTTCTATCTTTCACTTTTTTTGGTTTTGATTTTTGGGCCTCATCAGGTGGTGCTCAAGGGATGTTCCTGGTTTAGAGTCCATAAGGTATTGGGGATTAAACCTGGGACTTTGGCATGCAAAGCATATACTCCAGCTTATTGAGCCATCTCCCTAGCTGTCTTAGCTACTTAAATATATGTTCTGCTTGCCAAACCAAGGCTACTACCCTCTTCCTCCCTGTGGAGCTAAGAAAGCTTAAGCTACAGAGTCTGTCACTTATAATATGGTCATATAAAAAATAACTATGTTTAATAAATTTTTCAAAATATATTTAAACCACAATTGGTTTAAACTGCTGTCCCAATCCACAGAGAGTTTTCACGGCCACAATTTCCCTTGTAGTATGTGCTGGAGCTGCTTCAGACAATTTTTGTGAACAAGCTAAGTGAGTGGAAGTTGATCTGGGAGATACATTAATTTTGGGTTTAGTGGGACATTTATATGTGGTTTTAAATTGCTTTCATTTATATACCCAGGTGTAGGAATGGTTTCTAGAAACACTTTATTTTTGAACTTAATTTTGTGTACACAAATATAAAATGTTCTTTTCTAAGATAAATTCCACCTCACAGACTATAAAAGTTCATGTCCCCCTAGATCTAGATTTTTCTTTTTTCTTTTCTTCTCTCTCTCTCTTATTTTTTTTTTTTTGCTTTTTGGGTTACACCCAGTAATGCACAGGGGTTACGCCTAGCTTTGCACTCAGGAATTACTCCTGGCGGTGCTCAGGGGACCATATGGGATGCTGAGAATCAAACCCAGGTTGGCTGCTTGCAAGGCAAACTCCCTACCTACCGTACTATTGTTTCAGCCCCATTTTTTTTGCTTAGTTTTTTTAAGGCAGAAATATGACCCCATTGCTTCAGTTCAAAAACTTTAGTTGTTGGAAATAATAGATAAAATATAATATTCAACTTTTGTGTAAACATTCACAATGTACCTCTATGCATTTGTCTACATATTGATCTTTTTATCTATTAAGGTTTTTTTTTTTGCTTTTAGGGTCACACCTAGCAATGTTCAGGGGTTACTCCTGGCTCTGCACTCAGGAATTACTCCTGGCAGTGCTCAGGGGACCATATGGGATGCTGGGAACTGAACCTGGGTGGCAGCGTGAAAGGCAAACGCCCTACCCGCTGTGGTATTGCTCCAGCCCCCTCTATTAAGTTTTTTCTTGTTAATTTTGTGGAATTTATCTTTCAAGTCTCAATTCCATAGCACTTTCTTAGATTCATTTTATACTTTGCTAGAGGTTAATAGATGTTTTCCAACTGCTTACTTGTGACCTTGTAAGGGCCCTACACTGGCAGTTTATAACAGTAGAGTCTTGTTATAGCATCACATCTCTAGATCTTAATGTACCCTCACTTAGGAATATGTGTACTCATACACATTTTTGTGTGTGTATTGGGCCACTACAAGCAGTACTCAGGCTTACTCCTGGCTCCGCACTAACGAAAAACTCCTGGTGATGCTCAGGGCCATGTGTAGTGCCAGGGATCGAATCTGATCTGAGTTGGCTACTATCTCTCTGACCCCTCTACATTCTATTTTTTAAAAAAGTGGTAGGGCTCTGTAAGGAAGAGAATTCCAAGAGACTATTCTAGAACATCTGGAGCGGAAAAGCAGTACCATCTTGAAGCACTATAGCTAAGCAAAACACTTATTACGGTCAGTTCTGTCAGGCATTTCTGTACTACTCCTCCCTCAGGCTCACGACATATGAGCAAGTAAATAAATTTATACTGAATTGAAATGAAAAGAGTAGGCTCAAAGAAAAAAAGTTCAGAGGGAGCTATTAAGTTGACAACTTAAGGAAGAACTCCAATGGAAGGACCAAGGATAGAGCTCAGAAGTAGAAGGTATAGTGTTCCCGATTTGGCTTGGGAAGTGAAGTCACTAAATTTCCCTAAGCCAGGGTCCTCATTTGGGCATACTAACAGAATTTCCATTGTAGGGGGAAGAATGTAGAGGGAAAACTTGGAGATGGACCATGTGAAAGAGACCAGCACTCTGAAGTTGTCCCCATGAGTACCGTGAGTCCCTTTAAGTATTTTGCGCTCCTGCCTCCTCATTGATTTTTCATCTTCCTGGAATTTGGTATTCTGTGTGGTCTTAATTCTTTGCGGGGGTGGGAGTACTGAATTGAAATGATGCTTGGCCTCACTCAAAATGGAGCCAAGTGACTGCCGTGCATAAGATGGCTGCTTCTCCGCCTCTCGGCTCAGGGTCCGCGGCGTCAATTGGGTCCCTTGTGGAGATGAGTGTGTCTAGAGGTAATTGAGTCCCGCCCCTCTTTCTCAAGGTGGCTCTCCGCCCCAGATGGCGTCACTAGGAAGCAGGCAGCCCTTCCTTCCCCGCCTCTGCCGCTGTTACCTCGCTTGCCCGGCCCTCATAAGATGGCGGTAGGGTCGCCCCTGCACGGCAGCGCCGCCACTCTTAATATGGTAACTGTTTACCCAGATTTCCCCTCCCCTCTTACAGTTCAACTTCCTCGTTGTTTTGAATAAACTTTATTGACTACTTGAATTTCTTACCACCGCCACTGGGCTTTCCCGGAGACTTTTCGGGACCATCTTGATCCGATTTGGCCGCAGGGTCATTACATTCTTCGTTGCTTTACTCAAGACTCTCTTACGGACCCAGCGAGGACGCCGCTTGCCCGTTGCCCGGTGATGCCGCGGGACTAGGCCCGAGTCAAGGTTACCGGTAGGCCTTAACAGCCGGGCCGGGGCAGAGCTCCGGGTAAAGCTGCCCAGAAACATCGCCGGGCGAGCGGGGCCTCACCACCCAGCGGGTGGCTAGTGGGGAAGGCGAGTAAGGTTCGCGGCACAGCCGTGAAGATCCCAGAATTCGGCGCGCGCGTCGCCGGTGGTGCCCGGAACTGCCGTCCGAGCCTCAGCTGAACTAAGCCCAGAGTCGCTCTGGAGCGAACCGGGCCGCCGGCGCCTCGGTGGGACCGAGCTCCATTGGTCTGAAGAATCCTTGCAGCTTAGCAGTCGAAGAGGTTTCCGTGGGGCTCGGGACGGAAGACATTCTTGTCAGGTTTGGGGCGTGAGAAGGTTCCTGTCAGTTTGGGAGGCGTGAAGAGATTAAGTTTCGGGGGACTGTAATGATTATACTTGACAGTTTAAGGATTAGTGATGGGCATCCTGTCAGTTTGGGAGGTCGGGGGCGGGGGTAGGGGCTTTCTCGTTACTTTGAGGGGCTGTGAGGGCATGTATGTCTTGACCGAGCGGTGGCGAAAAATTCTTATATAGTTGCCATAACGCAAAGAAATTCTAGACCGTTTAAGGGGGTTCAAAGAGATCCTTTTTTAATTTTGGAGGTGTGACGAGAACATTTGTCATTTTTGAAGTAGAGGACGAGCTGATCAGTTTTGAAATTTGCATTGATTTCAGTTGTAGTGGGGGTGGGGGAATAAGACCACAGACTAGTGAGGGCTGGAAATGCTAGAGTGAATGATTTTTTGAGCGAGGAAAAACATCATTTAAACTCTGAGAACGCGACCCCAGAACTGCGTTTTGAGTTGGGCGCTTCGTCGTGTCTGCCGTGTTACTGAAGGCATTGAGATAATTTTCAAGTCATCTGAGTCGACTTGCAGGGATCCCATCAATCTCACTCTTCTCTCTCCTTTCTCTCTCTCCCTCCCTCCCTCTCTCTCTCTCTCTCCCTCTTTCCTTCCCTCCCTCTCTCCTTCCCTCCTTCTCTCCCTCCCTCCTTTTCTCCCTCTCTCCTCCTCTCTCCTCCACTGTGTGTGTGTCTCTCTTTCTGTTTCTGTGTCTCTCCCTTGTGGCCCTTGTTTGAGGGGTGAGAGTAGGGTATTTTTTTCTGAGGTCCTTCACCTCAGTTCTTAAAGCATGACTAGCGTCATAATTAAAGCTCTGGGAGTAAGATTGTGAGGTAGGAGAGGACGCCGTCTAGAACTCAAGATTCTTTCTGAGAAGGCGTCAGATTGTCCCCTGAAACCCAGCTGAAGTTCTCACTTACTGGGGGCCAAAGGAGGTAGGGAGATAAAAAGAAAGATAGAAAGCAAGCAAGCAAGCAAGCCAAACAAGCAAGCAAGCAAGCAAGCAAGCAAGCAAGCAAGAAAAAACCGCCTTCGCAGCAGAGCGCCTTTCTTTATTTGTTAAAGAAATTCTGAAAGCCGGTGGACTTTCTACGATTGCCCCCTACCGCCTCACCAGCTGTGTTGCATCCCAGAGCGTTATCTCCGCATTAATGCAGAGGGTTTGGTACGCTGGGGGATTTCATTCACTAGGTGAAAAGTGTTGTTTGTGCCTAGCCTTCGTCGCGTGCCGCTCCCAGCTTCTGTTGACCTGGACACTGGCTGGTAGCAGAACGCCGAAAGACCGGGCGAAGATGGCCTCAGTGCCAGTGTACTGCCTCTGCCGTCTCCCGTATGATGTGACACGTTTCATGATCGAGTGTGACATGTGCCAAGACTGGTTTCATGGCAGGTAAGAGAATCATACCAGACTGGATAGGGTGCAGTGGCCAGGTATTCCCTGGGACCTTCACCTTAACTCAACTGTTTTAGGTTCTCTTTCTGAGAATGAATTTCAACCCACTTCTCACCGCTAGGTTCTTTAATCTTTGTAGACCTTATGTATTTCTTTTTGGGGAAAATTTTAACCTTTTTTCCAGCCATAAATAAAGTGACTTTTTAAATTCTGCCAATTTTATTTTTCTATAGGGGAGATACTATAGCATTTTGGGGTTTGTTTTTGGGTCATAATTGGTGGTGCTTCGGGGTTTCTCCTCTCTCTGCACTCAGGAATTATTCTTGGTGGTGCTCCAACCTGGGACAGCCTCATTACAAGGCAAGCACCTTACCCGCTGAACTATCTCTCCCACCCACTACTGCATTTTTAAGATACATGAGCTGTGGTTTTGCAACTTACTATCAGAGGGACCTTGGGCAAGTTGCTTTGTCTCTCTAGCGCTCATACATCTAATACTTCCTTTCTGATTGTTGAAAGCATTCTCATGCACTCAGTAAATGGAAGCAGAAATGCAATCGTATTATTTGTACAGTACCTTTTAAATTTAATTTTTAAATTTACTGTGATTTACGAAGTATTTATATGGTATTTATCTGAAGAATGGTTCAACTAAGTTGAATTAAGCGCAAGAGACATTGGGTAAAATAGTTGGAGTACAACAACTAATGAATTCCCCATACCTGTCACCCAGGATTACAGACAAGTTAGAGTGTGGAATAAAATTGTAGTATTATCCATTATTATGACTTAAAGCCAAGTTTTGGAACAAAAATCACGAGAGGGATTTGTTAACTGGAGTATAACAAAATAGTATATGATGCTCTGCTTCTGTTGGCATGTTATATTTTAGAATTTTTAGCTGTCATTAGTCCTTTCTAAGGAGCTGTTACTATTATCGTACCCAAGACTAAAGTGGAGGTTTTAGTGCTGCTATAATTCTGTTCACTAAGGGGACTGCTCTATGTAGTACATCCAAATTCAGATTCAGCTTATTTCTAGTGAATATTTAATATGTGGTTGGTGCAGTGTTCTGTTTACTGCCTCGTGTTATTTGAAAGAGGATAGACCTATAGGGAGGTGCTTTTCCCGTTCCTCTTAAAGTAAGATGTCTTTCAGGGTTCCTGGTATATTTGTTAGTGCTGATCAAGTCACTCCTCTGCTTAAAATTCTTTTGGTGATTCCCCTACATAATAAAATCCGGTTTTCTTTGTGTGATAGACAAGACTTTTGTCATCTACTGATTCGGTCTCATTTCCCACCACTCCTCCTCTCTTGTTCTTTATACCCCAGCAAGACTAAACTAGTCTATAGTTCTGGGAAAATTTACTCTCCTTTATGCCTCTTTGTCTTTGCATATGCTCTTTCATTAATGTTGTCCCTTTCACATCTCACAGGTTACCTCCTCTGTAAAAGGCCTCCTTCCTCTGGATCCAATTATAGTTTCTATACATTCTTATTGATAGTAATTCTTCCATCATATCATTTAGGTGTTTGTAGCTTTCACTAGCCAGAGCTACTTATTTGAGTGTTGAGATGTCATCTTTCTCTTTATTTTAATTTCCAGAACCTAGTTCAGTTGTTAAATGTATAGTAGTTGCTGAGTACATTATAGAAAGAAGAGATGATTGAGTCCTCTCAAAAGAAAACACACATAAAAAACCAACTATGACCTTTGCTATGGATCCTATGGGAAGCATGTAGGTTTGTGTAAGTTCAAACCTGAAAAATTAACTCTTCCCCATGATCCAGAGAATTGGAAGCAGGAATGAATTTGGGAAATTTCCACAGGAATAAATGCTTCCTGAATGCTGAATTCTAGACCCCATGATAGGGAATTTGCATAAATTGTTCTTTTAATCTACATCCAAACCTCAAAATTAGATATTTCCTCTTTAAATGTTTTACATTTTCCTAATTAAGTACCTGAGTATGCTCATTGTAGGAAATACAGAAAAAAGAATAATGATGAAAATAAAAATTACTTATTTTTCTACTCTCCAGCACAATTTGCTATTAAATACTTCCTTTCATTATCCCCCCATTTAGCATAGAATGTGAGTATGCATTTTAATTGCATAGGATTTTGTCATAAGTAATGTCTTATAAAATGACTTCTAATCCTACTTAAACATTATAATGTGACTATTTTATCAATTCCTTAAATATTCATCTGAATCTGATTTCTGATATCCCATCATTTATGTGTTATATTTGGCTCTTTCCTTCCATAGCTGGATAATGATTAGAAATGTATAGGTTTTGCTTTAAAAAAATTGTGGTGAACTTTTGCACTGACACTTGAAATTTATAAGAAATACCACTGAGGCTCTCAAGAATTTAAAATTTACAGGCATGAGAGATAGTACAGCTTGCCTTGCATGTGACCTACCTGAGTTCGATCCCTGGCACCACATATGGTTTCATAATCCTAGCCAGGAGTGATCTCTGAATTCATTGTGAGGAGTAAGCCCTGAGTACCACTGGGTGTAGTCCAAAAACCAAAATAAAATTGAGAATTTGGACCAGTCTCCATACTAATCACATTTCTATGAGAATCCTGTGTTTCTCTGTATCTGTCACTGTCACTGTCCTCCCGTTCTTCATTGATTTGCTTGAGCGGTCACAGTAATGTCTCCATTGTGACACTTGGTACTGTGTTTGGCAGTTTGGCATATCAAATATGTCACAGGTAGCTTGCCAGGCTTTGCTGTGTGGGCAAGATAACTCTTGGTAGCTTGCCGGGCTCTCTGAGAGGGGCGAACGAATCGAATCTGGGTTGGCAGGGTCAGCAAGGCCCTACAAACTGAAAAAAAAAATAACTCTATTTTTTCCCCATGAGCAACCAAGTTTTTAATCTCTTCTAATGTTTCTCTTTCTGGAATGCTAGAAAACAAAAAAGCCAGTTCAGAATCAGATCTTTGATTGCTAAGTGACTGCTCTTATATACTCAGTGCATAAGGCTAGGTTCGCAGTGCTCCATTTCAGTTTATATGTAAGGACAATTGAAAATTACTACAGGGGCCAGAGACATAGTAAAGGCATCAAGGCATTTGTTTTGCACATGGAAACCTCAGTGTTCTGTTTTGTTTGGGGGCTACCCCAATTGGTGCCCAGGGATTACTCCTAACTCTGCACTCAAATTTCAAAGATCACTCCTGGTAGGCTCAGGAGATCATATGGGACGATAGGTATCAAACCCGGTCAACCACATGCAAGGCGAGCTCTGGAGAGTACTGTCTCTCCAGTCCCCGAAACCTCAGTCTGATCCTGAAGCAGTTCCCAAGGCTGCCAAGTCTGACCAAAACTTACTCCTCCCCACACCCCACAATGAAGAAAAATACTACATATTGTGGACTCTCCACAGTAAAAAAGTTGCAGAGATATTTAAGCCCACAAATACTTATAGATGATTTAAATCTCTGTTAACTTCTCTTGATGGCTTCCATAGGCTCTGATGACTTCCATATTTTAAAGTAATTTTAGGGATTAGTGATGGCAAGTTACTTTCAGGGAAAATCATAGCAGGGAAGGCTACTATTTCATTTTAGGTTAGCATCTGGAATACACAGAGGGTAAGTGACTCTGAATCTTTATTTGAATTTAGAATTATCTGGCTCCACCGATTCCAGGATCTCAGAATAGAGGGAATATGATTTAGTTCGATTTCCCCTACTCTAAGGGGCTTTTTTCAGAAACGTTTAAAATTTTTTTAATGAAACATCATGAGATACAATTACAGACTTACACACTTTTGTGATTATGTTTCAGTCATACAATGGTCGAGTACCTATCCCTCCACCAGAGCCCATTTTCCACCACCAACGTTCCCATTATCCCTCCTGCTACCCCCCACCCCATCCCCCACCCCCTGCCTTTCAGAAACATTTTAATTTATACAGTATTTTTAATCTACTTTAGCACTGCATCAGAACAATTTGGAAGATCTGTTAAAACACATGATAGGTAGGCCTGTCTAGAAGATTTCTGATTCAATAGGTGAATGGAGAATTACCCTTGAGAATGATCAGTTTAGAGCATTAGGCCATCTAACTTTCTTTTCCTTCTCTAGAGTGTGATAGCTTCTGATACCGGGGAATGGACAAACTAACATACCATTACTTACACTGTTGTTTTCAAGGCATGGTTCATTAACTCTGAATTTTTTAAAGACACATTTTTGACCTTGGACCCAGTAGTTTTTAACAATCAGGTGATTCTGAAGCACTTTAACATTTGAGAGTCATTGTGATATGCTGATGAAGGAAGTTAGGTGTTAGGCATTTACTGATGACAGGGGCTTTCATAAAAACTCTACCCCTTTACAGATTTTCTATGTATAGAAGAAATGTTGGTTGGCACGTACTTTAGAATGTGGTTCCGCTCTGGACTATAAACTCTAGAGGATATGGCACTGGTTTCAGAGCTGGATTTAAATTCTGACTGGTGCTTGGAGGCTTGGGAGTTGATGCTTGGGCATTGCTCCCAGTGGTGCTTGGGGATACAACCATGGCATCCCAATGCAAAGCTGTCTTCGTACTATTCTGTGAACTTTCTCCCTGGTAGTGAATGTTACCAATATTTTTTTGGTGGGGGAGGGTGGGCCACACCTTGTTTTAATAATATTTTCTTATGTTCAAAATTCTATCACCTGTGTACCCACATCAGTACCCCAAGGACTCCATTGGCCCTCCCTCTAACCCCCCAGACCAACTCAGTTCTGTGAATCAGTTCTCATTATTTTGAATGTTTTTTGAGCACGAACATCAAAGTCTTTATTGTACATTATTCATAGGAAAGGAAGGAAGTAAGGGAAAATAAGAGAACTAAGAGGAGATTGGTATAAAGAAACAAATTCTTCATTTTAGTTTGGAATTGATCTTATTTCACACATTTCTTTTTTTTTTTTTTTTTTTTTTTTTTTTTTTTTTTTGCTCTTTGGGTCACACCCGGCGATG